AGGTAGTTCACTAACGCCAGTCCCCCGCCCCAGTGAAAGTTTAGAGGAAGAGCAGGTTTGCTCTTAAGGAACATGTGGAAGGATCACTTAGACATCACATGAAGTTTAAAGGAAGAGTATGATATACTCTTAAGCTTTATGGGGTTGAATCAATTACTCCCATAAAAAGGTTTAAGGAAAGGCCTATGTTGGCCCTCATACGTATGAGCTGATCGGTTGGACTAGTTAGTGAGGGGATCCCAGTGTTGGTAAAAAGGTTTAATATTTTTTAGAATGGCGAGTAACAGTAACTCCCACGATTTAAGAGTTAAAGTTTAAAGGGTGGAATTATAAATAACTTCCACGGGTTTTTGAGGTGAACACTTAAGGGAATACCCGTAAGTGATTCATGTTTAAGTAATGACATAGACTAACCCCAACCCACTCAGCGGGTCGTAGAGGAGGAGCTAGGTAGCATCCAGTCAAGGAGCATCGAGTGAGAGAGCAAGCTACCAGAGGAGAACCACGTGAGTACTTCTAAAGATGTCTGACCACGGATCGGAGTAAGCAGCATTTGTAATCTTTAGTTATTTGCTTTATAATTATGAGTAATGACTGGAGATTTAAAAGGATAAGAATTTATGGTTTGAGGTTTGCCCAAGTGTTAGGGCTTTGCGTATGAATTATAACAATTTATTTTCAGTATTGGTATTTTGGCACAATGTTACTCTTTTCTTTCAGAAATTTTAAATATGCTCCGGAGCAAAAATATTATATAAGAATTTAGAGATCGGGATGTGACATGTATTCCATGCCTAAATTAAATTTATTAAGTAAATTGATTAGTTGCTTAAGAAATTCTTACATGATTAGCCTTCATGCTTTAAAAAATTCTTATATGCGTGCTTTTACTTACAAGGTGAACCGGAGCAAATACAAGCGACCACCAACATGAGCACTCTTTACTGTTTTATCGTGTTGAGTTTGATAAGCCTTGGTGGAACCAGGTAATCATGTTTTATTCAATATTTTAACGAATTATAATTTTATGGATGTAATTGGTTGCTAATTGCAAATTATGAATGATTGTAGGTTACATGGGATCCATATCCACGTGAAGTGGTCGAGCTACATCATCTTAGACACCATGAGGATCACGAGATGTGGTTGTGCAAGGTGCGCTTGATCTACTAACACATCGTGGAGTGGCACCTGCCCGATCGTTCCTTGACGCAATATCGATTGGAGCCACCAATTCCAGCAACCACGCCTCAAGGTTTCAAGGAGCTCCATGCCATCGACCTCCGCCACCAAACAACGAATTGGCTTCTCAAGCATCAGTTATACATCAATGTTTGGGAGAATATAGCAAATTGGGTAGTCCAAGGGATGCCGGAGACGAGACCTATCGGCTAACACAATGGGTACATGCAGTGGTATCAGAAGTTTACGTAGGGGTGGGCAATGGGAAACAGATATTTGGGTATACCCATACCCATCGCATTTTATGAAGGCAAGAAGGGTGTGGATATGGTCTATCGCAAAAAGAAGGTTATGGGTACCCAAATACCCGTTTTTTAATGGGATGGGACTTGGGATTAATGATTTCTACAACGGGTACCCACAGGTTACCCGTAGTACCCGTTAGCAAAAATTCTTACAAAATAGAATCAGCCCCATTTCCCCCAAACTCAGCCCAACTGCCCAACTCGAGCCCGATTTTAGTGGCCCAACCTCACCCCACCCCAACCCTACCCAGCCCAGCTCCTGCGTCCTGCCTCCTCTGTTCTGAGTTGACCTAGCATCTATCATCCTCTACCAAAAACCAGACCAGACTCCCTTGACCACGGCTGCTCGACATCACTCTGTAAGACGGAGAGGTGATGCCAAATAGCAAACTTCGACTTGTCTTGACGCTCATCCTCTCCCGGACGGCGCGACCCTTACGACGAGACACCGACATCCGGCCTTTCCGCTTAGTCTCGACTTCTGCCCTTTTCACTCAGTCGCTGACCTCTGAGCCCTCGACAGTCGGATCGGTGAGACGGCACCTCCTATCCCCGACTACTCGACGGCTGGACCCGAACTCCCACTCCCTGACAGCCCCAACCCCGACGCCGCAGTCACTGTTTCATCTCTTATGGGTATCCGCGGGTACCTGTTATCCGTCTCATACGGGTAATGGGTACCCGTTAATCCATACGGGTTTGGGACATGGGATGAAGTATACTCTTCAAATGGGACTGGGTACCCGTTGCCCACCCCTAAGTTTACTCTAGATGGGTGTTAAAGCAAGGTGTTGTGATGGGTTTGTTGGTAAGTCATCCCAAGTATCCCTGGTTGTCTTATTCTTTTGTTTTAATTTTAATTAATTTTGTTCTACTACTTATATTGCTTAGGTTGATTGTTTGGAAAATGCCAAGCACATGGTCGAGAGTGGACCCACCATGGATGAGCGAAAGACATCTTGGTTGCGAAGACTTATTAACAACCTCCTGAGCTGTACCCGAGAGAAAAGGAGGGATGTTGTTGCATATCATCCACTGCTTGCCCCTGCTCGCCCATCATTCTGCGATGGTGAGCGCATTGTGCCCCCGGTTGAGCCCCCATGGAAGAGCAAACGCAAGCCTCAGCCAACCTTCCAAGAGCTTCGTCCGACTCAATAAACAGAACTCCCCGAACCATTTGAATACGAGTGGACAGCTGCACCGGAGGTCGCTGGAGGCTCGTCGAGCTACGCCCCATCTCAGGAACATGACATGTTCCCCCAAGGGTTCCCTCAATTCTACCATCAGCAATAGACTCCGATGTATCATACCACACAACAACAAACCCCTAATACATAGAGCTACTACCACTCTTCTGGTCCATCCCATTCACCTCCACTGCCCCCACCTATGTATACTCCGGTGGGGGTCGGGTTAAGAGGAATCTGCGAGCAGTTTTCCAACAAGCTCGTCAGAAAGGAGTAGGGAGAGAAGGCGGAAGAAGGGGTCGAGATGTTTCCTCCTATAAAATCTCCCAAAAGACCTAATTTTCAAGCCTTTAAATAGACCCTCTCGGGCTCTAAATGAAAGACAACTTTCATAGGGATTATTATGCAATCCTCTCCAATCCTTACTTTGATCAGAGTTTAGTTGGTAAAGCAGATTACTCGATCCATACCGGAATTGTAAGATTATCTATTTCCAAAGCTTGGATCTCTAGTACCCATAGTCATGAACAAAGCATACTATCCCTATAGTGCCACACCTCCTTCGAAAAAACATATGGAAAACTAACACTAAAGACGATCTCCCAACCATCAAACTGTTACCTCTCTGTCTCAACCCCACTACCATTTGGCCCAGAATTTGAGAGTCATCAATAATGGGGGGATGCTACAAACTATATGACCAAGTTATTCTCCCACCAACAAACTCCGTCCTCAACTACAAACTTAGTTATGCAAAAAAATCCATTGATGATCTTGAGCTCATAGCACTCCAATTGACCATCCTCCGACGCACCAAATAACTAAGTCTAGGAACGTTTGCCACCAATGGCGCTCGTTGAGGCCTAGTCAGCGATGACCCCCATTGGGGAAAAAATGAATCGCAAAAACATAATAGAAGAAAAATAAGAGGGAAGTTAAAGTGCCATCTTTCAGAAGTGAAGCTAATCTTAATTTTTAATGTATAACAATTATAGTTAAAAATTAGTGTGATAATTAGCAACCTTTTGATGATAATGAGTCTATCTCCATTCCAAATTAAATGGACTTATAAGGATCAATCTTTTTAAATTATATTTCAATTTGAAATTTATATTATTTTTGAAATTCACCGATAAACATTAGGTATAGTGTTTGTTTTAGATCATTTTCATATCTAAGTCATGTTCTATACACAATTCATTTTCGAGGGATATTATGATTCTAATAAGCATCAGTATTTCTAGTTACAAGTTGAATTTGTATAATATCGTTGAATGTACGAGTTTATTTTGTACCATAAGAGAATTTGTGCGAAATTGCATTTGTATCATATTGTTAAGTTACATGTTCAGTTTGTACCATACAAAAATGTGTACAATAATGTTAGGTATAACTGAATTTGAAGAGAAACATTAGAGATAGAAATTCAGTTTGTACCATCAAAGATTTTTTACAAATAAAATTTACTTACTTTATATCAGACTACCAAATCATAATGTGAATTTGTTTATAAAAATATGTGTGAACACTAATTCGGCCTATAACAATTGCAATGTGAGAAAACCTTAATAGCAGTCGCAAAGGAAAAAATCATCCGATAATCTCGGAGCTCTCTAAATTTATTTAATTTCTACATAACAATTCAAATAATTTTATAAAGACTAATTCCCACTTTTCCAAATTTCTACACCAACCAACCCTACAACTACAAATAAATTACATATCTGTTTTTCTCGTTTGTAAATGATTTGCTTAATATGTGGCAATTTATGCAATCAACCAAAGGAAAACATCTCTTGTCACGTTAGGTGACAAAACACATAATGTCAATTTATTCACGTATTTTTGTACTCATTCACGCCATTTTGTGTGTATTCACGTAATACTATGTTTATTCACGTAAGAGTGTAAGTTATTCACGTAAATGAAAATTCAGACTTTTTCCCCCTAATAATTTGTATTGACTATATTTTATGGAATTAAATTTGGATTCTCAATTAGTCTGTAAAAATATGTTGCATTGATCATAATCTACACAATGACATCCATTTTGATATATTTTAACGTCTAAAATTTAATTTTAAAATGGCGTGAATAAATAACAATATGCGTGAATTGACACCAGGTTGCGTGACTAAACAATATCGGTTGCGTGAATTAGCAACACTCTTACGTGAACAATGTCAATATGGCGTGAATAACGAAAATATGGCGTGAATAAATGAAAAAATGCGTGAATTAGGTGTTCTTGTCACCTAACGTGACAAGAAACTTATTCTCAACCAAAATTACGGTAGATACGACGTGGCCTTTTATCCTCCAGGTAGATAGCAGAGCGGAACGTGTGAAAGATGCAGGTCCAGGACAACCAACTTTCCTCTAGTAGTTGCTCCGTCTGTTGCATACTCAGTTGCAGTTGCAGCCTGCAAGAAACATATTTTGGTTCGAGATCTTTTCCAAATTTCTCAAGACGATTCAGACCCTTTACTGATAAGTTCTCTTTCTGATACAGTCTTGAGAAGTGGGTTTCTTAAGATTTTCTTTGAGAAACTCGAAATCAATGGCCATGGCTATGCAAGTTACTGGGATTGCGTGCTTCTCATCTTCTGGGTTTTCGCAGAGACATCAGAGGAGGAATTTTCGCCGAAGTGCAGCTCCCAGAGCTGCTGCTTCCGAGGGATTGGCCTCTCCGAGTGTTGACGATAACAAGTTGAAGTTAGGAGGGTCGGAGTTGAAGGTCACGAAGGTTGGAATCGGAGCTTGGTCTTGGGGTGATACCAGCTACTGGAACAATTTTCAATGGGATGGTAAAATCAAAATCAGACCTCGGTTGAAACCAAGTTTCTGTTCTTGTTTCCTTTTCATGGCTGCCTGTTTGAAAATTTGGCAAATGCTCAATTCATGATCGTTTTTGTACGAAACAATGAAAGCTCATATTTCGATGCAACTCTTGGGTGTACTTTGTAAGTTTCGTTGGGTGATGTATGAACAGATAAAAAGATGAAGGATGCTAAGGATGCTTTCAATGCCAGTATTGATTGTGGCATAACCTTGTTTGATACAGCTGAAGTTTATGGCTCTAAGGTGGGACCTGGTTCTTGGTTTCGCTTTTGTTTCATTTCCAAATATGAACATAGTCAATCAGTGATTACTTTTGAATTGAATATCGTCCCGTTCCCCTTCTAGTTATCATTTGGTGCCATCAGTTCTGAAACTCTGCTTGGAAGGTACTTCATCTCCTGAAACTTAACTACTTAGAGTGAAGAACAATTTCTCTGATATTGCTTTTTTTTTTTACTTCAAATTCTCACAGTTCAACATCATATGTTTCCGTGTAGATTCATCAGTGAAAGGAAGAAAAGGGAACCTGAATTGGAGGTGGCTATTGCCACCAAGTTTGCTGCATTACCATGGAGGCTGGGACGTGAAAGTGTCTTATGTGCCCTTAAGGACTCCCTAAGCCGCCTTGGGGTATCCTCGGTTGAACTGTATCAGCTCCATTGGTATGTCATCTTTTTCAAGTTTACATCAAGTAAGAGGCTTCTACCAGCAAATCGCTTATCATGAACAGTAGCTCATCAATTTTTCTTTTTCTTGTACTGGTCTCCAGGCCAGGACTGTGGGGAAATGAAGGTGGTTACACTGCTGCTTCGTTGTTTAGTTGAGCCAAAATAGCTGCTGATATGCTGAAATTAATGTCCTCGTTAACTAGAAAGAAGAAAAAAAGAATACATTTTAGGACTTGCCGCATTGGGCTTAGAAGAAGCTCAGTTCTTTCCAAGTTGATTTTCAGGGTACATAGATGGTCTTGGAGATGCAGTAGAGCAGGGCCTAGTGAAAGCTGTTGGTGTTTCAAACTACAGTGGTAAATCTCTTGTTTCAACTACTAAACCGTGGTAAATTTCTTATTTCTTCATTTTAACCAAACTACTGTCTAACTGCCATTTGTAACTGCAATATGGGTGCACTGACATACACACTCGGGTCCCTCCTAACCCAAGAGAGTCGTCTTCGAGCGGCTTATAAGCAGCTGAAGCAAAGAGGTATCCCGTTGGCCTCAAACCAGGTAAACTACAGCCTTATTTACAGAAAGCCAGAGGAAAATGGAGTCAAAGCGACCTGTGATGAACTGGGAGTCACCGTGATAGCCTACAGTCCAATTGCCCAAGGTGGTATTCTAAGTTCATATATTCGTGTTTCTCAGTTCACCAACTCGTAGCTGAAACATGTTGTTCACCAATTTACCTAGTTCTTACTTCCATTAATATGATCGTGCTTTCAACGTTGCCAGGTGCTCTTACCGGAAAGTATACGCCGATGAACCCACCAAGCGGACCACGAGGCAGGATTTACACTCCGGATGTTCTAACCAAGGTATGGATGGGTAGATTTGAGAATCTGTTGCCTTCCTGTGCCAGAAAAATTTGCTAGCTGAAGTTTGCTTCTACAATGCACAGCTCCAACCACTAATAAAAAGAATTGGAGAAATAGGTGGCAAGTACGAGAAGACAAACACACAGGTCTGTCATCCTCCGTGCTTGGCAACCGTTGAAATTAGTTTTAGTGCACCCTCTTAAGTTGAATTCAGGAAGATCGAGAATGATATAGCTATTGAAAACTATGATTACTTTATTCTGCTAAAGAAATTAATGGTGTCCCTTTACAGGTAGTGTTGAACTGGTTAATATGTCAGGGGAATGTGATTCCAATCCCAGGCGCCAAAACTGCTGAGCAGGCCAAGGAATTTGGGGGTTCAGTTGGGTGGAGTCTTTCAACTGACGAGGTTGATGAACTGCGGTCCATGGCATCAGAAATAAGCCCAGTTATTGGGTTCCCTGTTGAAATGTTATGAAAATTTGGTCCAACTGAGATGCCGATGCAATATTTAGTAAACACTAGCCTGTCTCATCGTGTAACGGGAATCAATGATAAATAGTCTTCATGTCATTGCTGCGTATGAAGAACAGAACATAACAGGTTTGTTAATTGGACAAGATTTGGCCTGCTCCAAGCAATTGTATTCATCCCAAATCGAATGATCACCGAGTCACAGTACCATTTACTTAGCAGCTGCTAGCTGGTTGGTGCTATTGTAAGTCGGAGAACAAAACCACAACCACCACCAGCTGCCATATGTAATCACAGTAAGAAAAAACGAGTCCCTGTTTATCTCTTCGCTGTAAACCGTAGAACCTTGTGAAAGCAAAGCAAACAGATTTTGGCACCTAATCTTCAAACCGACATCTCTTCATTTTGTGTACGCAACATCAGTAAAGATGAGATTGCTGCTTGGGAATACTCGCCAAAAGAAACTATGTTGCCGTTTGTTATTATCATTGTTGTCCACCTACGGGTCGACCAACAGATTATCCGAATCCAATGAGGAAAACAAATACCTGAACTTTCCTGGTCCCCAAGCAAACACTACCTACAATCATACAACTCAATAAGCACTAAAGAAGATACTCAACCATCGATCTTAGATAGTGGATCATAAGTGAACTTACAAGGCAACATTCGACTGCTAGAAGGACCATCTATATTTTCAATAGCTCATCAATCTTGGACTTGAGAGGTCGGAAATCAACAGATTGTACCTCTCTCTCTCTCTCTCTTCACTCTCGAGGTTTTGCTTCTTTAGAAACATCCCAATCATACTCACTATTCGCCATCTCCTCAAACAACTGTGTCATCTGAGGTGGGGTCTTGTTCAACATTTCCCCTTGGGAGAAAAAGTTTATGAGCTGGCGGTCCTCCTGGAAGATTCCATTGTAGAAGGTGCACACCTTGAAATGATCATCGAACCCGTGTTGGGGACACTTCAAAAACATATCAGGGTATCGCTCCCAAGCATCCCAAAAAGTGCCATCGTCCTCCTGCTGATAGTGAGTGTGATTCGAGTCTAATTGTACACATTTTACCCCTCATTTCTTGATAGATTGACTTTGCAGTTCATCGCCCCTCGACCTATTTTACACTAGGTTGTGCTTGTTTTGTTACATTTCGGTTCCTAACATGTGTGGGATGGTCGAGGATGAGTTCGGGTCAATTGGAGGTCGAAAAGTGTGAAAAAGTAAAGAAAAGTGAACGTGACAATTGCCCCGAGACCATGAAGTGCGGAGGTTCAAGAGCAGTTATCGGTCTCACTGGACTCAATTCAGTTCACGGTCGTAAGACCGTGAAATCAAGCCACAGACCATGAAGTAACTTAGTGAAACGGTGCGAATCTGCCTGATATAACGGTCCCCACCTTGAGTTCACGACCGTGAACTAGGACCGTGATTTGAGCTCGACCTGGGTATAAAAGGGGAAGTGAGCTGAAGGAGAAATGGGGCTTCCCTACGGTTTACAACCTCCTTTACCACACATTTGCATTCGATCCGACAAATCATGATTACTAGCTAGGAGGGGGGGGGCAACATTTAGGTGAAGCCTTCTCAATTAGTGTTCAAACAGTTTACTTTTCCACTCGCTTTAGCTTTAAACCATAGTATTTACCAAAAACTATTTGCTAGATAATGTTTCAAACAATTGAAGTAGGAATACATGGATTAGCCCGGGTTTGACTTTTAAAACATACTTGCCCTATATTGCACCTGATTAAGGTTTATACTTTGGCCTTAATCAGGATTTTTATTGTGATATTCGGGAAAAGTCAAGTTTTTTGCGCCGTTGCTGGGGAGCTTCAGTCTGTTATTTTGAAAAGATTTTTTGGCGTTAATCTAGTGTTTACTTTTTTTTTGTGAGTATGAATCTTGCTTGTGTTAGACGAGTTGTGTTTCTTTGAAGTGTGTGCAGGAGAGTGTATGACCTGGAGCAATCCGACACCTTTGGCGCCTCTAGACAAGAATCTCAACCGCATTATTCGACTCTTGGCTCGTGAGATGAAGATGGCAGAAGCTAGGAGAAGAATTGAGGAAATGGGACAAGCACAAGTTGGTCCCGAAGTTGAAGGAGTTATAGTTGAGGAAGTGTTTGAATCGGAGGAAGAGGAAGGAAGTGAAGCCTATCAAAATACTCAAGAGGGAGCTGAGGAATCAAGGACCATGGAATACTATATGGCTCCACGGGTGGCAGATATCCAACCAACCATTTTGCATCCACCCGTGGCCACCAACAATTTCGAGATCAAGCCCGACCTCGTCACAATGATCCAAAACAATGTGCTTCGAGATTGCGAGAAGTTTGAAGATCAATGGGGTACCTAAAGAGGCTTTGAAGTTGAGGCTATTTCCCACTCTCATACGGGGAATGCGCTCAGGTGGCTCAACAATAGACCACCTCTCTTGATTACCTCATGGGACGACTTGTTCAACAAGTTCATTGCCCGATATTGTCCACCTTCCAAGATGGCGAAGCGGCACAAGAAGATCACGCATTTCGCTCAAGAGGAGGATGAGATATTGAGGGACGCATGGGAGAGGTACGCTGACTTTTTCCTTCAATGCCCACCTCATGGATTTGAAGAGGAGTTTCGGATCGAGACCTTCTACGGAAGTCTCCTCCAAGAAGACAAGATTCTTATTGACTCTCTATGCCAAGGGAAGTTAATGAACAAGACTCCACCCTAGGTGACTGCTTTGCTTGAAGATATGGCGAACAAGGGGTATGATTAAGGCTTGACGAGACGTGGTGGAAGGGATGCCAAGAGAGGAGTACACTCTACGAAGGCGAGTTCTCCACTCGCCGCAAAGATCGATCAATTGATGAATGCACTTCTTGAATATAAGAAGCAAGGGAAGATGTCTTTGATGGCATGTGATTGGTGTTCGAGTACCAACCATGAGATAGCGGAGTGCCATTTGATGAACAAAACGGATGCTCCCTATGAGCAACTACATTCCATCTATTCCGCATTTTTCAATAGGATGTCTTCACTGGAGGAGCTGGTGACCACCTTCGCTAGTTCCAGCTTGAAGAAGTTTGAGAAAATAGAAAGGTTTATATGGGAGGCGACGGAGAAGTTCTCATCCATAGAGGCATGGTTGAAAATTCATCAATCACTCTTGACAATCTTGACCACAAGATGGGGACTATCACGCAAGCGACTCTTTCTCGGAATCAACTTTATGAATTTGAGTTGGGAGCTGTGACCCTCTGCAGCGGGAGAGAGACACGAGAAGTGCCCGTCTCGAGGAAGCCTACCAAGACGGCGGAGCGAGTCGACCCCACTGATTCCCCTGAATAGTAAGGGGGTAGAAGTGCAACCGGAGGAGCAAAAATGGATTCGACTTCTCAACCGGAACAAGGGAAGGGAAAAGCGAGCTCGCCACTTCCCTACCCCACTAGACTCTAGAAGGATTGCATGGGGGCGGAGTTTGCTCACTTCATGGAGATGATGAATCAGTTGCACCTTAACATCCCATTTGTCAAAGCTCTCACCCAGATGCCCAAGTGTGCAAAGTACTTGAAAAACCTCCTCACCAACAAGAAAAAGCTGGAAGGGAAGGCCACCGTGACACTGAATGAAGAATGCTCAGCCATCCTGTAGAATCATCATCCCACGAAGTGCAAGGATACATGGAGTTTTACGATCCCTTATTTTATTGGCAACATGTACATAGGAAGGCCCTTAGCGGACCTAGGGGCTAGTATTAATGTGATGCCTTATGGTTTGTTTAAAAAATTAGACCTAGGTGAACCTAAAGCCACTAGGATGAATATTCCATTGGGAGACAGATCCATAGTGCACCCTAAGGGTACTGTAGAGGATCTACTTGTTAAGGTTGGAACCCTCATTTATCCGGTTGACTTTGTCATTCTCGACATTGAAGATAATGTGGACGTTCCCCTTATTTTGGGTAGGCCTTTTTTGTCCACCGCTAAGGCTTTAATTCATGTGCATGAAGGCAAATTGGTTCTTAGGGCATGGAATGAGGAGGCCACCTTCTCCATTGATGATAGCATGAAGTTTTCTTACCTACATGACGATGTTGAGTATTGTGATGATATGTCTGATTGTTGGAGTTGAAGTCGTTGCCTAGTAATCTCAAGTACGCTTTCTTGAGAGATGGTGGCAAACTCCCGGTCATCATTAACTCCAATCTCACATCAGAGCAGAAGACCGAATTGATTGGGGTCCTGCGTCGTCACGAGAAGGCCATTGCATGGAAGATCACGAACATCCGAGGGATAAGTCCCTCATTCTGTTCACATAAGATCCTCATGGAGGAGGGTGTCAAGCCGGTCGGCCAACCTCAACGACGAGTAAATCCAAATTTGGAAGAAGTGGTGAAGGCCGAGGTCATCAAGCTTTTGGATGATGGAATCATTTACCCCATCTCTGACAGTCAATGGGTGAGTCCGACACAACTGGTGCCCAAGAAAGGAGGAATGATGGTAGTTGTTAATGAGAAGCAAGAGCTCATTCCATTAAGGACGATGACTGGATGGAGGGTGTGCATTGACTATCGCTAACTGAATGACACTACTCGAAAGGATCATTTCCCTCTACCCTTCATTGACCAAATCCTGGAAAGGCTAGTGGATCATGATTTCTACTGCTTTCTGGATTGAATGTCCGGATACTTCCAAATCCACATCACCCCAGAGGATCAAGCTAAAACTACATTTACTTGCTCGTTTGGAACATTTGCATATAGGCGCATCCCCTTTAGATTGTGCAATGCGCAGACCACATTCCAAAGATGAATGGTGGCTATATTCGACAAACTTGTGGAGGAAATCATTGGAGTATTCATTGACGATTTCTCGATGTTTGGGGATTCATGACCCAACTAGGATACAAGTCTCTAGCATTTAGAGGTTGCCGCCATGGTGAAGAGACGATAGAGCTGAGTGTTGATGATTGTGCACATCTTTATCAACAAATGGTCATGACCCAACTAGTCGAGGGTGAGTGATTCATTCACATTTTGCATGTTCATATCTTGTCCAGGTGAGGACCTATGTTGCCCATTCGTTTGTTCCTTGAACTCTATGCATGGTTAGTTGTGGTTGTTGAGTAGTCCATTCGAGACTTGTATTTATTTGTGAGCAGGGTAATAACTTTTTGTTTGCACGTTCTTAATGCATTCGAATGTCATCTGTGGTGGATGCCGATATTTCCTGTAACGGTTCTTGTTTTGATGCCAAATAGCCATTGAGATTCACCCACTTTGATCCCTTTGATATGTTCCCAAGTTATCTTGTTAGGTTGAGATATTACCTTGTTTGGAATTGGTTTGCTTGGGCACAAGCAAACGTCTAAGTGTGGGGGGTGATCCGGGTCTAATTGTACACTTTTTATCCCCATTTTCCTTAGATGTTTGAGGCATTTTTACTCCGTGAGATTCGGTTTTACGCTAGGTTGTGTTTTTTTAGTATGTTTCAGATCCTAGTAGGTAAAATCAACTCATGGAATGAAATTTGGACGAAAAGGGGTGCAAACCGGTCAAAAGGGAACAAACAACAACAGTTCATGGTTGAGGCCAGAAGATCACGGTCAGCCAGATGTTCACGGCCGTGAACTTGGACCGTAAAATTTCGTCGATCTGGGTATATAAGGAGGGCTGAGCTAAAAGAGAAAAGGGGGAGAACCTAGTGAGAGAGACTTCTTCTTCTTCTTCGGATTTCTAGAGTGAGAAAGTGACAAACAAAAGAAGAGGAGAAGTTAGGGTTTCATCCAATTGCAAAGTTTTGGGAATTTCTTCCTCTAAGGTTGATCTCAATACCAAAAGGGAGAAGGAAAACATATTCAAGATGGTTTTCTCTCCTCTCCCTAGTGTATTCCCTCTACTAATTAGCATGGAGTAGTCCTTTCTTTCACTTGGGTGTTTGTGAACCCTAACTATAATTATGTGAATGTTTTTGTATGGGTTGAATGAATTTTGCGTGGTTGTGTTTTAATACAAGTTATGAGGTACTTTCATGAAGTTTGAGTTGTTTTTATGCATTTCCAACTCTTATGCCATTTTGACCTAGGTAGAGGGAAATCCCCTTCTTGCTATGAGGCTTGTAAAATCTGAAATTCCTTGGCCAAGTCGTGTCACCTACTGAGGTTGAATTAGGGCAAACCTCTTAATACGAATTAGCACCTTGGGTAGATTGTGTTTTGGCCGTCTAGACTACGGTTCAAGGGAGAAGCCTAAGCAACCCTGAGTCAATTAGCCAAGAGAGCTACCTTGGAAGCTTGATTCTAAATTCCTTGGACTAGTGACCGAGAGAGTGACGCTTGCTGACTTGTTGCGCTTCCCTACGGTTTACAATCGCCTTTACCACACATTTGCATTTGATCCGATAAATCATGATTACTAGCTAGGGGGAGTAACACCCGTGTGAAGCTTTCTCAATTAGTGTTCAAGCCATTTACTTTTCCAAACGCTTTAGCTTTAAACCATAGTTTAACCAAAAACCATTTGCTAGATAATGTTTCAAACAATTGAAGTAGGGGTACATGGACCGGCTTGGGTTTGACTTTTAAACATATTTGCCCTATATTGCACTCGGTTAAGGTTTATACTTGGGCCTAAATCAAGCTTTTTTGTGATACTCGGGACGAGTGAATAATCTTCATGAATGCAGTATCGAGTGATAAATATCCTAGGATATCCTAGGGTCATATTCCACAGGGTCTTTTAATAGTAACTACTCAAACCTAACCTAATGTATTCGATTATGCTATGCAGGAAAGTAAAACTTTGTGGGTGGAGTTGCCTTATATTCGAAATCTACTTTACTAAAGCAAACAAAAGAAACAAACAATGCAAGGAAATTAAAGTAATGTTTAGGCAGTGTTTATTAGATGATTGTTCTATAATGTCCTCAATAAGAATCGTCTATGCATAAACTATTATGATGCTCTATCCCTTCCTCTAAAGCTACTCTCTACCCATACATGCGTCTCTTGCGATAGATATTTGACTAGCTAATGTGTAAATTCGCTTAAGGTCATCACCTAATCAATGAAGAACATCTTTAGTTATGACTTCTACAAACCATAACCATATTCTATAGCATCGATGATCTAAGAATCAATTGTCATTCCTATTCATGGATAAAAGGGTAGCTAGTCCTCCTATACATGCCGAAGAAGGATGTCTGCTACCAAAGATTAGTTTCCTTGTTTCCCACAATAGTATTAAAACCATGCATATAATAGCACTCATAATAGATGATGCAATCCTCCAAAGTGACCCAAAATCACTCTGCTCGAAGTGGTAAGAAGGATGCACCTCGTGGAAGCCAGAAGGGCCAAAGAGCACCAATTCCTCGGCCATGAAGACCAATTACCCGGTCGGGGAAATGCAGTGCATACTAGGGATGTTGAGTAAGAAGACCCACTGCTAGAAGGGATCAAATCCCCAACTAGGGATCAGGAGCATTGATCGGCGAATGGGAATAGGAGGGCCCCCAGTCAAAAGGCCTACAATCCTCAATATGGGATCTGAAGATGCACGACTAGGGATCGGGCACTGATGAGCTGAATTGAACTTTTTTTATTAGGATTCTTTTCCTTTTCGAGTTTTTGAGTAGTTTTTGTTTCCTTGGCCTATATAAGGGTTTAAACTCGAATTTCAGGTCAGACATTGATGAATATTGAGTTTATCTTGGTTCAATGAGCTTTTAGCTTGTGGATTGTGCTTTTGTATCAATCAAGTATTCCCCTTGATTTTGGTTAAGCTTCTATCCTTATATTGATAGAGCCTTATCCTAGGTGTGAGATTGCACTTCTATTCCATTTTATCCCTAATATCCGATTTTCTGTTCGCGATCGTGGCTTTGCAACTTTGATAACTAGGTGTACTGGTTTCGTGCTCGTATAAATGGATTCACACGCATAGATTAATTAAAACATCATATACTATAAAGCATCAATAATCATATACAAGATATGATTAAAGCATCGTGAATACAATAAAACATCTAAAGGCACATGCATCGAAGATCGTAATATGAAACAAGATAAACATCTTATTAACTTATAGAAAGTAATGCATAAACATCATAGAATTCATATCCTTAAACAGATCGACTAGCAACAAAAAGAAGAGTGGAACAAAATCACCATAGATACCTGCATTGATGGTAAATGTTGCTCCTTCGAATTCCAGCTACAATTCTCTTCCTCTTTGTGGATTGCTACTTGTGCCCCTAGGGCAAAGTGCTAGTAAAATGTGTTATTGTTTTAAAACCACTAGCTAGCCTCCTATTTATACTAGTTACATAATGGAGTTTTCTAGTTATTTCTCCTAAAGTTGGCAAATCCTTCATTATCCGATTTGAACTCAGTTTCCTTCAACTTGTGGACGAAGTAGCTTCTTCAAGCAGCTTCCCGGAGGATTAGGGTTTGAGAGGAGGCCCTACAGAGGTTGGAACCAAAGTTGATTTTCCACTTGAGCTTGGTTGCTTGGACCACAAGCAACCTCTCCTCCAAATTTGGGTGCTTCTTGACTTTTATAGCTCTAGTTGGGCCTCAGTCAAAGTTGGCTTACTGCACTATCAATCTTCTTACTTTGGCCATAAAGTGAGAATCCGATGTCCAAATCCATCTCTGTTTGAGTCTTTGAGTATATGAACTTATATTCTCATCCTCCTTCTGATCCATTAGGTCCCTTGGTGATCCATATTCGTCTTGAGTGGTTTATAACATTTAAAAGCACAAAACAACACCATGAAGGCACCAAATAGTATAAAACTACACTCAAGGTCTATCGTAAGCTCATTATCCAAATAGTTGTGAATTCCATATGAAATATAGTCAAAACTACTGACGAGCATTGATATAAGGGGAAATGTATAAAATAGGGAGCAAGAAATATTATAAATAAACTGTCACTAATGACAATCATACAACTCAATGAACACCAAAGAATCATCACATAATATCATTCTTAAGTAGTGGATCATAAGCAACTTACAAGGTCAACGATAGCACGAGAGAATCCTAACCACATCAACATGCTAGAATATCATGCAATCTATTTCAAGCATAAACAACCAATCATGCATTAGTGTAACCAATGTAGTAAAAAGCGAGTTTTTACGTAGGAACGTTTTGGTGATCTAGAAACGTAAAATCGTAAGTTTTTAAGTTTTAAAGCGGAGTTTTTAACTACATAAGTTATAAAAACTGAGATTTTATGTATAAGCGTTTTAGTGAACTAAAAACGTAAGTTTTTAAGTTTTAAAGCGAGATTTTGACTACATTGAGTGTAACAAAACACAAGGGTGAAACTTTTGATAAACATTTTTGAACATTTGAATAATTCTTTTTTCTACACTTTTCTTGAGTGGAGAGCTCTTTATAGCTTTACCCTTATCGGTTGAGCAAGTGCTAGTAGCTCCTTAACCTGAATTCGTGTGGAGGGTCAATGCAATTAAGGGATGTTGGAAGGTTTATATGTTCCCTTAAGAATACATCCTCAAGTTAGCTATCAATTCAACGGGTGAAAATTTTACATGTACTAGAAAGGAACTAGCATCACCTTGTAGAACTTTCCCACTAAATCTCGACTAGTATCTCTTTCAAAACCTGAATTTGGGCAATGAAAAAATGCCTCTCACGTTAGCCTTACCCCACACTTTATTTCTCAACATACAACATGGAAAATTTTGAATAATACCAACTTGTCTTGATAGTTAGTTTTTGCATTTTCTAAAAGATATAGTTCACCCTTTGAAAAACAATAAAACACGAGACCCTTTTGCATAATAAAAAATGTATGAATGAACTATATAATGCAACATTCAAACATATCAAATCGTCATTTCATCTCATTGACCATCACATCCTTCATAGTCACTACATTATCCTCCCTAGATTGAATGACATTCCCTAGACTCCTTGGTTTAGGATGAGACGTCAACATGCTTGTAGGGGATGACTAAAAGTCATTGGATGGAAAATATCTTTAGTATTTTATAAAATTTTCACATCGATCATAAAACTACTAGATTTTGGATCAAAACCTATGAAATTGAATGACTAAAGATAGTGCATGTATCAAGCATAATCAAGTAACACGTAGCACCCTATTCCACCACCACTTTAAAACATTGTACTCAATGGACTAAAAGATAGTGAGCTATGAAAAAGTTTGAAAATAGTTCACCACACTTGTCATTCATATTTCAAAAATAGGGGCTTAGATTACTAGCACTCGTTAGATTTAGGGTGATTCTAAATTAAACAAAAACAAAAATGGTTAACGGAGAGAGCAAATGCTTAAACTCCTAAATCTGAGGAAAACAAAGAGATAAAAATTTACTCTCAATTGAAGAACATGCTCTCATCGGATGTCCATTCGAGTTCTGACATTCCTTTATCACCCCGTTCATCGTTTGTGGCTCCATGGTTTGTGGATTGAATCTATGATGGTGCAAGAACTCTTGAAAGCCTCTGATGCTTCCTACTCCAGCTTCTCGATCTTTTATAGCAATGCCTTTGTTCTTGTACTGGCTATCTTGAGTGTCATTTGTGCTAGCTTCAAATCCAAAGTTGGTAGAGCTTCTTTCAACTTGTCTCCCCACACTAGGTCTTCATCGTAATGATTATATGTTGCATGTAAGGAATCCTCATATAGAGATCCCGCTCTGAACTTGATCTCTATCTCTGAGTCCATATCTTCATTATCCTCAAAATCATCATCCTCGATGGCTTGCTTCCCTTCCTTGTCTTGAATAGAGCCCGTTACTATATGCATGAGCATGACCTCTCCTACTGGTAGTGTGATTTCTCTTTTTGCTGCATTGATCATGGCACTGAAAGTTGCTAGAAATGTTCTTCCAAGTATCAAGGAATATTAGGTCTCTATCTCCATCTTTATCACTGCATAGTCTAGAAAGAAGATGAATGGTCTGATTTGTGTTTGTACTCAATCCTCGAACTACTCCAAGAGGTTAACATGGAGTGTTGTCTACTAACTTGATCTCCATTTTTATCTCTTTCATGCCGGCTAGTCCCATATCTTTATAGAGTGGAAGTGGTAAGATATTGATACTAGAACCAAGATGTACCAATCGTTTCTCTAGATAATGGTCATCGAGAAGAAAATTGAACGTGCAATGACCAACATTCCCTTTTTATTCGTTTACTCCAATGAGTTATTTATATCCATAAGGAGTTGAGTTGATGTTAGTCTTCTCAATCTTCTCCTACTCTAGAAGTGGCTCGGGCTTCTCCCTTGGGATTCCATAGTAGTGATGCTCAAAATGAGTCCCCATAGACTGAAAAGTCGTCCATAAACACCTCCATGATTTCTCTGACCAATCGGTTGAAGATGGCCAGCATGCAGAGCTGAAATGTGGTCGGGGCATTGCATAGCCCGAATGGGATCCTTCGTTAGGCGAATGTGCCAAAAGGACAGGTGGTCTTCGCCTGGTCTTCTGGTGCAATGGGGATCTGAAAATACCCGGACATCCCATCCAGGAAACAGTAGAACTCGTGCCCCGCCAGCCTCTCCAACATCTTATCAATGAAAGGCAGCGGGAAATGATCCTTCCGGGTGGCATCGTTGAGGAGACGGGAGTCGATGCAGACGCGGTACCTGGTCACTGTGCCCATTGGTATGAGCTCGTTCTTCTGATTGGGTACCACGGTCATCCTGCCCTTCTTAGGCACCACCTGGGCCGGACTAACCCACTCACTGTCAGAAATGGCGAAGATGATCCCCGCGTCCATCAGCTTCACAATCTCCGTCCGAACCACAACCTCTAGTTTCAGTGTCAGTCTCCGCTGGGGCTATCTCACTGGCCGCATCTCATCCTCTAGCAGTATCTGGTGGGAACATAATGAGGGGCCGATCCCCCAGATATTAGTGATCTTTCACGCCAGCTCTCGCTCGTACTGCTTCAACAAGGCCACCAGCCTGGCTTTCTGCTCGGGTGTGGCGATCGAGCTAATAATGACTGGAAGCTTATTCCCCTCCCAGAGAAATGCATACTCCAAATGAGGAGGGAGGGGCTTTAGCTCCAGCTCTGGTGGTTCCTCCAAAGAGGATGCGAAGGAGAGGATGAGATAGGCTTGAACTGCTTGGCACCCTCCAGAAACTCGCCACTCTCCAGAGCGGCTAGCTGCTCCTCCAGCTGTAGCTCCTGCGATGCCTGCTCACCTAGCAAAATACAATGCTCAAGGGCATCGTCAGTACCCGCACTTGTGATGGTGAGTGCAGTCTCAAAATCAACCAGCATATCACAGTAATCCAAGTCATCATGCAAATGGGAATGCTTCACATTATCGGACACAGAAAATGTAGCCTGTTCATCCCCAACACGCAAGATTAACTTGCCACTATACACATCAATAAGCACCTTGGCGTTGGCGAGAAACTATCTACCCTAAATCAAAGGCAAATCCACATCCTCATTTATATCCAGAATAACAAAATCATCAGGATATTGAATGCACCCACATTAACAAGCAAGTCCTTTATGATACCCCTAGGATGCACAATAGAGCGATCAGCGAGCTGGATGCTTATCCTAGTGGTTCTAGGTTCACCTAGGCCTAGCTTCTTAAACAATTTATAGGGCATGACATTAATAATAGCGCCTAGATCCGCCAAGGACTTTCCTACATGCATGCGTCCAATGACAAGAAGGATAGTAAAACTCATTGGGTCTTTGCGCTTCTCGGGCAGCTTGTTCTGCATGATGGCAGAACACTCCTCGTTCAGCATCACTGTCGAGAGATCCCCAAGTTTCTTTTTGTTGGTGAGGAGTTCCTTCATGAACTTGGCGTACTTGGGCATCTTCGACAGTGCCTCCATGAAAGGCAGGCTGATGTTGACCTGCTTCAACATTGCCATGAATTTGGCAAACTCAGTCTCCACCTTATCCTTGTGCAATCGAGTGGGAAAGGAAAGCTGGAGAACATGCTCCTTAACCACTGGCTATGGCTTGGGGGCAGGTACTTCCTTCTCAATCCCCACCTCTTCTTTGTCAGCTAGAAGTGCTGAAGCAGGTGTTGGCTCCTCCCGCCTGGTCGGAGTAGGAATAGCAGATGTTGTCTTGCCACTTCGAGTAGTGATGGCATCGAGCTGCTGGTGAGGCTCGCGAGGATTTGGAATAGTGGTGGCTGGCAGAGTTCCCGGTGCTCTGGTGGTGTTCTGCGAGCTATGCCTCCAATATGGTTCTGGAGGTCCAGAAGTATGGCACCTGATCGCCCGTAACTAACACAGAAAAAATAGGCAAGGGTACCTATCGTTCTAAGGTAGTATAGCAGGAAGCAAGGTCGTATCCACAGAGACTTCATGTACTAGTACTCAGCTTTTACCTATTACTAAGTCAATCGTTTTTTAGTTGATTTTCGTTTGGAAATAAAAACACACGCAATAATAAAAACACAATAAAGTAGTTTTCAAAGTAAAATCAATTGGAGAAGGCGTCCCGGTAGTGAATCCCCCTAATATGCATTTTACAAACAAGTTGAATTTAACATAAATGAGTGTTAATATCTTAGACCGTGAAAATTCCCAATTTAGTGTTAACCCGTTCGCACATGTATTAACACGCTTTCGACTTAAGAATCAATTGAAACCGTGGCTTACAAAAATCTTAAACCAAAGCAATAACCAGATTTATGAACTTTCATATTAGGTTTTTAAGCTAATCTAGAGGAACTACGTGACCCCATCGCCGGTGGCTCCGATCAATTCCTTCTTTTCACGAGGGATCTAACATGCAAAATTACCTCGCAGTCTCATTTACATGTATCAGACAAAATATACAATAGACGCGTACTATTGATACTTGCATATGATAAGTCGAGAAAAGATCGTAAGAATGAGAACAACACGTCTATATCAAAGATACCACTCAATCAATGTAAAACATATTAGGGTTCATCAAATCCGGAACAACTAGAAGATTAGCCGAACATGATGAGATTTAGAAAGATGAAGGTTGAGAACATTACCATGATGATGACGACAACGAAGACGGAGGGGTTGAGAATACGATATGTATATTGAGTTAATAGATTACACCTAGCAAACTTCCGCGGGGGAATAATCCTTGGGCGAAGACGGTGGAAACCGACCAATCTACCACCACAAATGATTATCAAAACCCCCACAGAATAGAAGCTCACTTCGGTAATCTCAATAACACAATATACCACGGTATTCCCAAATACGAACACAAACATAAGAACCACGATGGATGAAATACGAGATATGATTAACGAAATGAAAAGAAGTAACAAGAGTTTGGAATGAAAATGGACAGAGTTTCGGCTAACTTCAAATACCAGAAAGGGAGAACAAAATATAGAAGTAGTGTGTGTATAGTGTGTGTACTCCCCTCTTTCAACACAAACCCTCCCTCTATTTATAGTATAATTTCAGCTGCTTGCTTGCTCCATTTGTGCAGCTACCCCAATTGTTTACTTTAAAAACTACTTGCTTCAAATGGCCAGCTGCTTGCTTGTAATAAATGGACCAGCTAGCTTGTCTCTTGACCAATTTGATTTGCACCAGTTACTAGCTTTCAATGGCCAGATGCTTGCTTGTAATAAATGGACCAGCTAGCTTGTTTCTCTATGGTCGAGAGACGAACACAAATGGAGGAGTTGCTTGCTTCCCAATAGTGGACCAGCTTGCTTCCCAATTTGGACATGCTTGCTTCAGCTACTAGCTTCCCACGAGAATCCCAAAATGAACCAGCTTTTCCTTATGTTTAGCAGTAGGCAGTTTGATTCTGTAGTTTGTGGTTTGACTCTGCATTGTTAATTAGCTCTCTTTCCGTCATTCATCGCCATAATACACAATGGGTTTTGTATATTGATAACAAAAGGGGACGCGGGCGAAGTGGTATGGCTCTTTGCCCTCGCCTGGGACGTCGCGGGCTCGAGTTCCACCGACGTCAGATTTCGAACCCTAACCATCTTTTTGTTCAATTGACTCATTATTCCGTTCTTATTGGATAGAATACCCGGAAACATGACTCAAACACAAAACCAAACATAAAATCGGGAAATCAAATGAACTTGGTACAATTTAGGTCAATTTAGGATGTAAAAGTGTAGGTGAATATATGTATAATTTAGGTGTTATCAAATTCCCCTACACTTAATCCTTTGCTTGCCCTCAAGCAAAGCACGAAAAATGTAAGTTCAATCAAAACCAATTTCACAAGAATTCTAACCGTGAGTTGGGAAAATGTGAATTTCATATGATTGCTAAAGATGGTGCAATAGGTAGCGAGTTATGGATGCGTTCAACCACCACAAACAACATTCAATCATAATCTTCCTGTCACATAGGCAACTCTGACTCAGATTTATAAGAACATTCTTCTATCTTTAATAGTCATTTGGCACAATCAATTGTTCAAGCATAAGGTTCACAAAACATAGCATGAGAGATCGAGCAAGTAGATCTTACTTGGGATTTTAGAATTTGGATAGTCTCTCTCACTCGACCAGTGGGGTAAGGGTAAGTGCATGTAGCATGTAATTATCACTCTTTCCCTACCATCTCTCTGCCATGAGCTTATTGTTCGAGTCTCCAAAGTTGTGTCACCACTGACTTGTCAGGTAGGTCTTTGATTGGGTGTCAAATGGGGCTAGGGGTACGGACATGTGGAAGTACTTTTAATCTGGTGGTAAGTTCAAGGTTCCAAAAAAAATTTTCCGCACCGAAAACCATGACTTTTCTGCTTATCTTTGTAAGATGAAAATATAGACAAGGGAGAAGATTTTGAGAATTAATGAGTTTAAAATGTAGCCAATGTGACTTTTGAAGAATGACTCCTATTTATCATAAGTGCATGAAAGATGGTGGCCAACTGATCACTTTTTTTCCTTCTTCTTTTATTTGTTAATTTTTTTTTGAGTGGCCAACAATTCCATTTTTGAAAAATGCACTTGCAGAAATCGTTTCTCCGTATCTCGACTTTTGTATTTAATAAATGAAGCAGAAAGTCATTTGTTTAAACCATTCACAC